TCTTTCTCTCTCTCCATATATATATATACCCTCTAGCACTCCTAGAACTCACGATGTAGACCAGGCTGGTCTTAAACTCAGATCTGCCTGCCTCTGCCTCCTGAGTGCTGGGCTTAAAAGTATTCACTACCAGGACTGGTGAGATGGCTCAGTGGTTAAGAGTACTACTGGCTGCTCTTCCAGAGGACCCGGGTTCAATTCCCAGCACCCACATGGCAGCTCACAACTGTAACTCCAGTTCTAAGGGATGTAACACCCTCACACAGACACACATGCAGGCAAAACATCAATGCACATAAAAAAATCATTTAAAAAAATGCTGGCTGGGCGGTGGTGGTGCACGCCTTTAATCCCAGCACTCGGAGGCAGAGCCAGGCAGATCTCTGTTCGAGTTCGAGGCCAGCCTGGTCTACAGAGCGAGATCCAGGACAGGCACCACAACTACACAGTGAAACTCTGTCCAAAAAAAAAAAAAAAAAAAAAGACGGAGGACATGGGGATCTGTGGTTGATATGTAAAATGAATAGAAAAATCTCTTAATAAAAAAAAAGGCTGGAATAAAGGTCATTTTAAAAAAAGTGTGCACCATCATGCCTGGCTTGTGGATTTTGTTGTTAGTAAAGTCTGCCTGTCCTAGGCCAGGATGACAAGAATAGTAGAATAATCCCACAGCATAGGCGTGAGGATTTGAGTTCCATCCCCTGAAACATGCACACAGAGAATCTTGATTTTATTGTTTTGAAGATTTATTTTTAATCTGAGAGTGGGAAATTGAAAGGGAAAGAGGTGTGTGTGTTTGTGTGTGTGTGTGTGTGTGTGTGTGTGTGTGTGTGTGTGTGTGTTCACACAGAGGCCCAGCGAGGGTGTTGGATCCTCTGGAGCTGAGGTTACAAACAGTTGTGAGCCATTGTGGGTGCTGAGAACTGATCTTAGGTTCAGATCCTCTGGAAGAGCAACGGGTCGTCTGTTTTTGTTTTGTTTGTTTTTGTTTTTGGTACAGTCTCCCTATGTGAACTTAGATAGCCCAGGCTAGCCTTCAATTTAGAGTTACAAAGTTAGACACCATGCCAGATTTGTATTTCATTTGTTCTGGGACAGGGTCTTGCTGTGTAGTGCAGGCTGGCCTTGGGTTCTAGGCAGTCCTACCTCAGCCTCCAGAGTGCTGGGGTTATAGACTTGGACCATGGCACCTGGCTTCAAAAGTCACTGTTTCCACCCAGGCTTGGCTTTCTGACATAGGCACTGATACATCCTTCCCAGCCTCCTTTGCAATTGAGTGTCGTCTTGGAATGGGGTGGGTGGCCTGGTCTTTTGGAGTCCCACATGCTTCGCCTCCTATTGTCTGGGATGGTGGTGGAGAGGCTCTGGCTTCCTCTGCTGCCACAAGAACAAGTCACAACAGGCCCAGCATTTCTGGAGAGAGACAGATAGAGACAGGGAGGGAGGGGGAGAGGGAGGGAGGGAGGGGGAGGGGGGAAGGGAGGGTTTTTGGTTTTTTTTTTCCGAGACAGGGTTTCTCTGCATAACTTTGCGCCTTTCCCGGAGCTCATTTGGTAGCCCAGGCTGGCCTCAAACTCACAGAGATTCGCCTGGCTCTGCCTCCCGAGTGCTGGGATTAAAGGCGAGCGCCACCACCGCACGGCTAGGGGTGTGTTTTTTAAGACAGGGTCTTTCTACAGAGCCCCAGCTGTCCTGGAACTTGCTATGTGGATTAGGCTGGCTTCAAACTCACAGAGATTCATTTGCCTCCGCTTCCCAAAAGGGAATGAAAGACGTGCACCACCATGCCTGGCCTATGTTTTAGTTTTTTGAAACAAGACCTGGCTCTGTTGCCCAGGCTGGCCTTGAACTTCTGGCTGTCATCTTCCTGCGTCAGTCTTCCTAAGGCTGGAATCCCAGGCCTGTACCACCAAGCCTGGCTTAACACCTTCAGGGCACAACTGGTCCAGGAGCTGACATCAGTGTCACTAGGCTAAGAGACAGGTATCTTCAGAGATGGCTCCTTTAGAGGCTCAGGGACTTCTGTGCACTGCCTCTCCTGTACTCTTGAATTCCAGGGCTTCTGATTCCTTCCTGGAATCTCTGGTCTCACTGGGGCTGTGCTTTGGAGGATACAAGCTGCTTGACCCCAAAGACAGAGATGCATACTTGCAAATCCCCACTACTTCCACTACTCCTTTGAAAAGTTGAAATTCTTACTATTTTATTCATTATTGAGTCAAGTAAGATCTATGTGGCTAGGGAGATGGCTCTGCCAGTGGTGATTACAGGGCAAGCTTGAGGGTTCAAGTTCAGCCCCCCTCCCCCCCCCCCCCCCCGCACCCACACAATAAGCCAAATGGTGTGCACTGGGAATCCCAGCACTGGGGAGCCAAATAGACGAACTGAGGACTGCACAGGTGGATACATGGCTCGATAGGTGGATGGTTGGGTGGGTTGATGGGCGCATGCTTGTTCGACCTACCAGGAACCATACCATCAAAGGAAACAGTCTCCCTTCTCCAGCAGCCATCAGCTGCTAATAGCTCCATAGCTAATGATGGGAACGCTGTCCCTGCTCCATTCTGCAATGTTGACCGGCTTAATCTTGGGCAGGAAGCCACAGCTGATGTGAGTTGATGACTACAGCAATTCTGTCACGTTCAGAAGACACTTCACTAGTTCTTCTGACCTCAGGCTTTTGTGAATTACTAAAGGGCAAATTACACACTAGTTGACAGATCTTCATTGCCTTTGTTTTGAGAGTCTAGAACATAGGAGCACTTCACTCTATCAAGTGGGTGGTTCTTTGGGGAGGAGGGGGAAAAAGCTGTTGTTTGCCTGTTTGGTAGTAGATTTGAGGGGCTGCACCCCAGACAGAGAAGAAACCAAGACACACAGCAGACTGCTTATTTGACTAGCATGTGAGTCCCTGGGGACTGAACTCGGTTGTCAGACTTAGTGGTAGGCACCTTTACTCACTGAGCCATCTGACTGACCTGTGCATCTGATTCTGAGGAGCTCCTTTTGACAATAAAGTAAGACGAGTTCTTTATAGGACTTGGAAGTGACCTGGTTTCTGGCTGTTACCTTTTTTCTTAGAATGGTAAATAAGTTTTTGGTTTTTTTTTTTTTTTTTTTTAGTATCTGGTTTTGAGGTGGGCTCTCATCGTGGTGCCCAGGCTGAAGCCATCTTCCTGTCTCAGATACCCCGTCACAGGGACCCAGGCATCCACCACTGTTCCTGGTTTAGACATACATCTTGGCTTTTCAGCTTGGGGACATGGAACTTAGCTTGAGTGACTCTAGTTTATTTTTAGCCCTACCTGTTGGGCACAGTTCAGGTACTTAGTATAAATGATGCCTGTAGTTTTTATTTAACAAAATGTATGAGATCATGTTTTTATTTTAAAACCAAATACCTGATGCTGGGGAGATGGCCCGGTCAGTGTTTGCTGTTTAGGCGTGAGGTCCTGAGTGTGATCCTCAAAGCCAAGGTGAAAATGGTGGGTGGAGTGGTGTACTTGTAATCCCAGCACCAGAGAGGCAGAGACAGGAGGAGTCCTGGGGCTTGCTGGCCAGCTTCCGTGACCTAATGGGTGGTCTGCAGGCCAGTGAGAGACCCTGTTTCAAAACAAGTGGGTGACTGTCCTGGGGAAGATGCCAGAAGTTGTTCTTTGACCTCTGTATGCACGCTCACACACTTGAATGCACACCTACACACGTGTACCTGCACATATGAATTCTCTGACACCTGCAGCACTTTTTCCTCTCTGGTCTACCCTCAGATTGGACAGGTTAGCTTTTTTCTCCCTTATAGTGCCGGTGTTGGTACCAGGGTCTTGTATATACTAGACAGGCACTCTACCACTGAGTTACATCTCTGACTTCCTCTTTCCTCCTCCTGTTCCTCCTCTTCTTCCTTCTGAAGGAGAGAGATAGAGATAGAGATATATAGATAGATAGATAGATAGATAGATAGATAGATAGATAGATAGATAGATAGAGAGTCCCTGGACCAGACTGGCCTCTAAATGATAGAGATCCACCTGCTGATGCCTTATTAGCTAACTTTGTTACACGGTCCAGGAGCACCTGCCCAGGGACAGAGCCAGTCACATTGGGCTAGCCCTCCTGTGTCAATGAAGACAATCATGTTCACAGAACAACCTGAGGAAGGCAAGTACTCATTTGAGACTTTTTTAAAAAGGTGACTCTAGGCTATATCAAGTTGACATGACAGTTAATGCCAACTAGAACAGATGGATGAGTGGATGGACAGACAGATAGATGGATGGTTGACAGGGGAGTGTATAGGTGGTATTGGTTGGTTTTTGTCAACTTGGCACAAACTAGAGTCACCAGGGAAGATGGAACCTCAGTTGATGAATTGCCCCCATCAGATTGGAGTCTGTAGGGGCATTTTCTTGGTTAATGATTGAGGGAAGCGCCAGCCCACTGTGGTGGGTGCCACTCCTGGGTAGGTGGCCCTGGGATATGTAAGAAAGCAGACAGAGCAAGCCAGTAAGAAGCACTCCTCCATGGTCTCTGCTTCAGTTCCTGCCCTGCCTGAGTTCCTGTCCTGACTTCCCTCAGTGAAGGATTATAATTTATGAGTCAAATAAGCCTTTTTCCTCTCCAAATTTCTTTTAGTTAGTATTTTGTTTGTTTGCTTTTGTTTTTCTAAATCACAGCAATAGGAACCCTAAGGTGTGGATAGATGGAGGGATGGGTGAACAGACGGATGGTAGATTAGTGGAAGGATGGGTAGATGGGCAGAAGGACAGACTGGTGGATGGGTGGGTAGATGATTGACAGGTGAGTGGATGATGCTGTGCAGATGCATGCATGGGTGGAGAGCTGCACGGTGGTGGATGGATGGATGCATGGCTGAGAGGTGGGTGGAGGGTGAATATGTTGGACAAGGGATGGCAGATGTTTTTAAGTTAGCTCCTGGGCAGCTGACTAGCGAGCGTCCCAGGCACCTCTCTCCGAGGCCTGCGTCCAGGATCTGGAAGCAGGGATAGGAACACGGGGCGGGTCCTGCTGGGGCGGGGCGGGGTCTCACGTGGCCCCGGATGCAGCCCCGCCCCCGCGGAACCGGAAGTGAGCAGGCGCTGGGAGCGGCGGGGCGCGGCGGGAGCCTGGCGGACCTGGCTGGCGCGGTGAGCTGGGGGGATGGGTGTCCTAGAGAGCTACCGAAGGGGCGAGACGAGGGTGGGATGGGTTGTCAGGGTGCAGGGCCTGGACTGGGGGTCAGAGTGAGGGGCCAGGATTGGGGGTCGGGGCCAGGACCGGTGGCGGAGTGGTCGGGGTGCGGGCCAGGGATTGGGGCCTAAGGGTGCAGGGTCAGGATCCAGGGATCTGAGCCTTAAGGTGCAGGGCCGAGATCCAGGAGCCAGGGTTCAGGGCCAGGGCCGGGGGTTTGCGCTGTGGGGCCAGGATTGTGGCTTGGGGTTCGGGGCCGGGATTGGGGGTCAGGGCTCCAGGGTGCAGGGTTAGGATCGGGTGTCGGGGTTCAGAGCTGGAATCGGGGGATCGGGATCAGGGCCAAGACCGGGATTTCGCGGTGTGAGGCCAGGATCGGGGGATTGGGGTGCGGGGCTGGGATCCGGGGGTCAAGGTGCAGAGCCAGGATTGGAGGCTCGAAGCTCTGGGTTGCAGGGTCTGGATGGGGGGCGTCGGGGCCCCAGGTACAGGGTGGGGATCGGAAGTTTCGGACTTAGTTGCTGGGCTGTCGGGTCATCCGTGGAGTAGCCAGGGTGCAGAGCGGTCCCTGCTCTGAGGGGGCGGGGCCAGGACGTTGGCTTTAGGATTCCTGGGCATAAAGGAAGGGGTGGGGTTCCAGGGCAGGATCCCAAGATCTAAGGGTGAGGTGTGAAACCGGCTTGTGGTGTTCTGGGTCAGAGTTCATAGTTAGGGGTCTGGGGTAGTCAGAGTACCAGGACCTAGAAAAGGAATGCAGACCTGAGGGCTGGGAGAAGCTGGTGGGGGCGGGGAGACTTTGGTTCCGGAATCTAGTGGAGTGATGAGGACTGAGGGAAGTTGTTGGGCCTGGGGAGCCTTGGGTTCCACAACCCAGTAAAATTATGAGTGTCTTAGGGCTTATGGGAAGTTGGCAGGGTGAGCAGCTAGTGTTCCAGGGACTAAGAGGATTGGGGTCCAGCCCCTCTGGGCTGGGCTGTGAGGCCAGCATCAGGGATCTGGTCTGGACACCTGAGAGAAATTTGCAGTGGGGTCAGTGGAAATCCAAGCTGCTAGCTTGCCTCCTGGAGCTAGGGAGCCTGGAATCCAGCTGCCCCTCCTGCTGGGTGTGTGCCCCGCCACCGTCACCGCCACCGCAGAGGTGCTTGGGCCAGGTCTGGTCCCCTGTTTCCTCTTGGTCTGTGTGAGGGGTGGGGTCCTCCAGCCAGGGAGAAGGAATTCAGTTTTTTACCCAGTGAAGTGAGACTTCAGCCCTTCCTAGTGATTTGACCTGGCTGCCCTGGGCCTTGATCCAGCAGGTCCTCACCATCCGGTAGCCCCCCACGGTCAGTGCAGACAGCCCTCCTGTCGACCAGGGGCCAGGCCATTGTGGATCTGAGGCCCCGCCTCAGCACCAGTGGCTCACTCCAGAGTGAGTCACCAGTTCAGGCCCTGAGTCAACACCGCTTCTCTATTTGGCTGAGAAGGTTTTCACTAGAAATTCCAAGGAGGGAGAAGCAGCTCTAAGTGGGAACTTGAGGCCCAGGAGAAGGCAGAGCCAGTGCTGGCTCCCCAGTACCTAGAAATGGAGCCTCCACTGGAGCACGTTCCCCAGAGAGCCTTCCCCTGATGCTTCCTCTTCTGGTGGCATCGAACCCTGGGCTTTACTAGACAAACTTCTCGGCCGCGCTCCAGCCCCAGCCCTGAGCTGACCTTTAATTGAGGCTTTGTGACAGTGGTACCTCTAACACCTTGTAAATGCCAGGGAATGTAATTGGCCCTTCAGATCCTTGGCCTGTTAGTTGGGAAGGCACCTGGTGTAACTCAGCATCCTCCTAGCACCCTTACCTCCTTGTAGCACCCTTACCTCCTCGTGCCCCTGTTCTTGGCCTTGGGCATGGTGGTGTCCCTGCACAGGCTAGCCCACTTCCTGTGCGCTGCCTTTGCTGGCCTCAGTAGGCGATGGGGGTGGGGTGGTTGGCTTCTCCACAGCTACTCCTGGCCCTAACCACCTTTCTCTTGTCTTTGCTCTGCTGTGCTGTCGTATCAGGTTCAGGGCCTCAGAATGGTGGATTCCTCTATCCTGTGACTGGGTCCTCTCTGGTTGAGCTTTGTGCTGGCTGGGCTTGGCCTTTGCGGTGGCGTCGTCTTTTGTCTGAACTTTTTGTTTTTTATCTGCTTTATTGAAATACAGTTTTATCCCACATGTGATTCCCGTTTGGAGGGTTCAGTGGTTGGTCTATTCGGAGCTGCGCGGCCATCACCACTGGAATTCTAGTCTTCTCAGAGAGAGACATAGAATGGGTACGCCTGTGGTCCCAGTGACGGATGCTGAGATGGAAGGGCCTCTAGCCCAAGGAGTTCTGGGCAGCAAACAAAGCTAGAGTCTGTCTGTCCGTCCCTCCCTCCCTCCCTCCTCCTGCCCCTCCCCCCACTCCCTTTTTGGTGTTAGTTGGGTTACATTTGAGACAGATCTCTATAGCTTTGATTAGCCTGGAGCTCACACTATAGATCAGCCTGGCCTCAGGCTTGTAGCCATCCTCCTGCCTCAGCCTCTTGAGCGTTGGGATTATGGTACACTCTACCAGGCTGGGCTGCTCTAATCCTCGTTTTAGAAAAGAAAGAAACTGGATACCTTAGCCTTGATTTCCCACCCCCCAGCCCTCCTCTTTACTCTCCTCCAGCCCTTCTCCTGTGCCCTCCCCACACCCCATTTCTGGGGCCTGGTACAGGGCCTTGAACACACACAGCTCTATCCCACCCACTCCTGCTCTTCTCTCTGAGTCATTGTTTGTTTTGAGATGGGGTCTTTCTGTCGGACTCCCGGGGTTAGGTGTCATCCCAACCCACCCTTGCCACTATGCCTCGTGTCTCCGTTATCCGCTGTCTTTTTTAAACTGTTGATCAGTAAGGACTCTTCTTCCACAGGTCATCTTGTCACTTACTTGTTTCTTGGCAGGATCTCTTTCTGTAGCCCAGGCTAGCCTCAAACTCTCTATCCTTCCCCCTGAGCCTCCTGAGTGCTGGATCTGAGTTGTATGCTTCCATATAGGGCTTGTCTTTTTTTTTTTTTTTTTTTTGTGGTGAGGCACAAAATTTAGATGAGAAGGCAAAGTGGGTAGAGGGCATTTGCCACTGAGCCTGGCAGCCTGAGTTCAGTCCCTGGGACCTACATGGTAGAAGGAGAGATTCAGGTTATCTGACTTCCACAAGCATGCCATAGCACATGTATTGCTGCAAAGACACACATGGACACAGACACATAAAGGCAGGTAGACACACACAGCATTCTGCCCAGTGTATCGGTTTCACTTTATTTATTATTTATTTATTTATTCATTTATTCATTTATTTATTGGTTTTTCAAGACAGAGTTTCTCTGTGTAGTTTTGGTGCCTGTCCTGGAACTCACTCTGTAGCCCAGGCTGGCCTTGAACTCACAGAGATCCGCCTGCCTCTGCCTCCCAAGTGCTGGGATTAAAGGCGTGCACCACTACCGCCTGACTAGTATGTTTTATTTTTATGTCCTCTCTTGTGTTCTTGATGGAACACCTGAGAAGTTATCAGCAAATTCCAGTCAGAACCGTCACGTTTGTTTTAGTGGTTTCATGTGTGTGAGGTGGAGCACAGAGGCCTTATTTAGATGCAGAAATTACTCGTTTGTTTTTCAGTTGGTCGTTTTCATGACTGGAAAATTGAAAACTGCATGTATGTGTGGCTGGGGGACATAGCTTGGTGTGGCAGTGTTGAGTGTGAGGGAGACCCTGGGCTCAGCGGTGGTACTGCCTCTCACTGGCTGCGGATCTGGCTTTTCACATGGGTTCTGGCTCAGACTCAGGTCACCAGGCTTGTGCAGCAAGCACTTTTATCTGCTGAACTGTGACTGTTTATTTGGTGTGCGTGTGTGAGTCTCATGTAGCCCAGGCTGGCTAAGGATCCTGCTGCCTTTACCTCCTAGCACTGGGATCACAGGTGTGCTCCTTTGTGCCAACTCATCATTTTGGCTTTTTGGGACAAGCTCTGTGGTTTGGGTGGGCCTGGCTCTCTGCCATAGCTGGGGTCATAGGCATGTGCCACCATGCCAGGCTTCTGTTACTGTTTGTAAACACAGTGACAGAGTTTCATTGCCTTCCACCTTCATAAGTTAGAGTGGACAAGAAATGAAATACCTCAGCTTTATGGCGAGCAGGGCGCGTGCTGGCCATAGAGCCTGTGATCTCTGGTTGCATTCGGGGTTGTGGGGGTGGGTATAGGTCTTTGGATCTGCTGAGTCCTCTGGTTCCTGTGGGCTGAGACCTCTGATTAGTGAGAGGCCAATCTTCCTGTCTGTGATGTCATATGCACTCTGTGTGCTGGGGACTCTGAAGCTCTCCAAAAGTGTCTCACAGGAGGGTGTTGCCCAGAGAGCCTGGCACAGGCTCCTGAGACGCTAGTCTTCTCTTCACAGGTGTTCACTGATCATCGCAGATGCCCGCACATTCCTCCTTGGATTCCTTGGATTCGGATAGGCTGTGAGCTACCTCTCCCGGCAAAAAAAGAAAGGTTCGTGTATTGAGAAGGCCCCCATATGCTTTCTCCTGGGTCATGTGTGGGTAGGGCTCTCTTCCTGACCGTGTAGAAAGAGACTTGGGGTGTGAGAGACAACAAAAGCCTTTTCAAAGAAATCTCATGCTGGGGACTGGGAGGATGGCTCAGTGGGTAACATGCTTGCCATGTAAGCCTAAGGACCTGAGCTTGAATCCCCAGCACCCAAGGAAAACCAGGCACAGGGCACACATCTGCGAAGTGCTGGGGGCAGCAGCAGGCAGACTCCTGGGCTTTAATGGCCAGTTAGCCTAGCCAGTTGGCGAGCTCTGGGTCCAGTGAAGACACACTGTCTCCAAAATGAGGTGGAGGGCTGACGAATTGGCTCAGAGGGTAAGTGCTTGCTGCCAAGCCTGATAGCTTAAATACAACCCTCGGGACCTCTAAGGTGGAGAGAACCACGTGCACTGTGGGCGTGGCTCTCGGTGTTCTTTCGGATCCTGTCAAAGGCTGGGAAGGTGGCTCAGGGGTTAAAGCATCCACCACACAAGTGTGAGACTCCCCAGAACCCATGCAAGTGACAGATGGGCTCGGTGGCCTGCCTATAATTCTAGCCTCAGAAGGCAGAGGTGGGAGATCCCTGGGCAGACTGGCTCCTGAGACCAGCCTTATCAGTGAGTTCTGGGTTTGAGGGAGAGTCCCTGACTCAGTGAGTGAGGTGGAGGAGTGATGGAGGACACACATGGGTACGCACATGTGCAGGCGTGTACTCACAAGAATATGGAAAAATGGGAAAAAAATGGTCAAAAGTAGGCCGTGTTTGGAACATTCTTGCCCACAGGGTTTGACGTCCCACTAACAACCTCCGGTATGAGGAAGGCCGGTGCTGCATGTGTGCTGTGCTCCCCAGTAGATGGCAAATCGGCCCTCTGCTCAGCTGCCGGGGCAGTTACTGGGTCGGCTGTCTAGATTAAGACAGCCATCATAGTCCCGGGAAGTCCTTGAAGCCAACATAATCTTTTAAATTGTGATGAACATTTATGACATTTGCTATGAGTGACATTTAGGGCATACCAGAGTTGCATGACCTTAGTGATGCTGCCTCTGGAGTGCAGCCACCCAAAGGCTGGTCAGGGTGAGACGCTCATTGGTGGAGAATGTGTACACTCCACTTTGCTGATCTGCAGTGGGACCTCACTCTGTAGCCCAGTCTGGTCTGGGCTTAAACTTGTAGCAGTCCTCCTGCCTCAGCCTATCTAGTGTTCGGATTCTAGGTGTGAGCCATCACACCCCCTTTTCACCTTTATAGTTTAGGTGTATGGGTGTTTGCCTGTGTGTGTGTGTGTGTGTGTGTGTGTGTGTGTGTGTGTGTGTGTGTGTGTGTGTGTACCACATGCGTGCATTGCCCATGGAGGCCAGAAGAATGAGTCAGATCCCCGGGGCTGGAGTTACAGACAGTTGTGAGCTGCCATGTGGGTGCTGGGACTGAACCTCGGTTTCTAGAAGAACAGCAAGTGCTCTTAACCTCTGAGCCATCTCTCCAATCCCAACCTTGTTTTTGTGAGTCAGGGTTCTTATTGGTCTGGCACTCACTAAGTTGGCTAGCCTGGCCAGTGAGCCCCAGCTCCTTCCCCACCTCCCCAGCACCGGGGTCACCCTATCACATCGATGTTTTACGTGGATACCAGGGGCAGCGTTGGATGGAGCTGTCTACCAGCCTCACCTTCAGGACTCCTAACATGCAGCTTTGATTCCTTCAGGTGTCCTTGAGTCCAGTGACTGCCCTCTGGGGGAAGTGGCCTTCTGAGGGTTTGGGTCAGGGCTTCTCTGGGGTCCTGGGGTGACCCTCCCAGGTGACTCTGCCGCTTTTTCAGATGTGGAAAGCTTCTGCAGGCCACGCCGTGTCTATCACCCAGGACGATGGGGGAGCCGATGACTGGGAGACTGATCCTGATTTTGTGGTAGGAGTCACCACAAAATCTGCCTTCCTGGGCCTTTGCTTCTGAGGTTCCTAGCCTGGCCCTGCACTGAGCTGGTTAATTTCCTCCAGGGCATGGGGTATACAAGTTAGGCCTTGATGTACTGGTTAGGGTGTGGGATGTGCTAATTAGGGCACACAATAAATGAATTAGGGGGTTGGATATACTAGTTAGATATCTGGGTATACTAGTTAGGGCATGGGATGTACTACTACTCCAGGGTGGGAGATACTAGTTAGAATATGGGGTGTGCTAAAGTGTGGGGTGTGCTAGTTAGGATACATGATATGCTAGTTAGGGCTCAGGGTATACTAGTTAGGGCATGGGATACTACTTACTTCTCCAGGGTGGGGATATACTAGTTAGGGTGCAGGCTGTACCAATTAGGGCATGGGATGTGCTGGTTACTTCTCTTTGTAGAACGACGTGAGTGAAAAGGAACAGAGATGGGGCGCCAAAACCGTGCAGGGATCGGGGCACCAGGAACACATCAAGTGAGTACTTGTGGCACCCCACTCTCCTAAGTGCCCCCTCTGTAGGGTGAGGAGATGGGAGCGGCCTCGCCTTGCTGCTCCAGGTGATGATTATTTCAGGGGCTCCTGTTGGTCTGTGGGCCTCAGGTCTCAGGTGTGCACAGATGATGGGCTCATGTGAGGCCCAGCTTTCATGAACAATGTTTTCCAACACAGAACACAGTAGTGTGAGCTGTTTTTGAGGGTGTGAGATGGTTTTGAGTAACTTGGGCCCCAGCATCCCCTTCATCTGGATCATTGTCTGCAAGTTGTCATGTGTTGTGGAATTTAGTGGTTGACACTGGCAGCCCAACTCCATGTGCTTCCGGAAGAGGCTGAGATAGGAGAGTGGAATGCGCCGTGCCATGGACTCTGACCTCAATGCCAGCTCTGCCGCAGCTGGCATCCTTGCCAGGGAGGTAGACAGGCCCTCTGCGGACACCTAGGTGCTGTTTTAGGCCCCACAGGGTTCAGACCACACCCTCTGTGCCCACTTTAGTATTCTGTCTACTCTGCCTTTGCCTCAGAGCATTCGGTCAGGTGCCCGGAAGAGGACTGTGTCTGTGCAGTGGCTTGTAGGAGGATTTGAGTTGTTATTTTTCTCTATCTCCTTGAGATAGACTCCTGCTGACTTTCCCTGTCTTGATCTCACCCTCCAGGCTCATGTTGTCCTTTCTCACAGGGGCTTTCTGGACCTGAGTGTAGAGTAGCCCACACCTCCCACAAAAGAGGCCTCAAGTCTCCATAGTGTAGTGGTTGTCACAGGTGGTCCATCGGGCCTGAGGTCCGTTAGAGAGGGATGGATATGAGAGGTCAGCAGGGATCTAGGTAACCATGTCTCTATCCCTATGGTCCTCGTCAGGTTGTTGGGGTGGTGTTTTGTGTTTCTTCTGCTGCTCATCGGGGGTTGCTGGTTCCAGGCCTGCAGTGTATTCCGTCCACACTCTTGGGCTTGTTCACATGTAGAGCTTTGGGCTTCATGTCTGCTGGCTAGAAAGGCCCTGTGCTCAGGCGGTGCCTCGGTGGCAGCTGCTTCCGGGCAGCCAGTTCTGACGGTCTTCTGATCTGTTTCACCACTGTTGCTTGTCTTCGTGTGTTCTGCACTGCTCTGATAAACACCACGACCAAATGTAACCTGGGGAGGAAAGGGTTTATTTCACCTACAGCTTCTAAGCCTGTCACCGTGGAAAGTCAGGGCAGGAACTGACGGAGAGGCCATGGAGACAGGCTCCTTACTAGCTTGCTCCTCATGGCTTGCTTAGCTGCTTTCTTACACCACCAGGACCACTGGCCCAGGGGTGGCTCTGTCCACCATGTGCTGGGCCCGCCCACATCAGTCATCAGTCAAGGAAATGCCCTACACATCAGTCTGACAGGGGGCATTTTCTAATGTGAAGTTTCCTCTTCTGAGATGATTCTAGCTTGTGTCAAGTTGCCAAAATGCTCACCAGCATAGCCAGCTTCTTCTGATGACCTTGGGGGTTTGGAGAAGGGACTCTGGGTGGCATTTGCAGAGCTCAAAGCTCAGATTTAGCGTCGCTACCCCTAGGGCCAGCTGCATGGTTCTGTGTGGATTTAGATCTGTGTTCCTCCCCCATACAAGCTGTGACAGAGCCACGGAGGCAGGCACGGTGAACAGACAGGGCAGCAGCCCGTGAGAAAACCCTGCAGACTCACAAGGACATCACTCCCCTTGCTTGTCCTGCTGGTGGGTAAGGTGCAAGCCCGAACCCTGGGTAGTCCAGTTTCCTCTCTCTTCCAGCATTCACAAGCTGCGAGAGAACGTCTTTCAAGAGCACCAGACACTCAAGGAGAAGGAGCTGGAAACGGGACCCAAGGCTTCCCACGGCTATGGCGGGAAGTTCGGTGTGGAGCAGGATAGGATGGACAAAGTAAGTGGCCGCCCAGCCTGGGCTGCTGGCCTGCATGGGCACACCATGTGGGTGGCAGTCACACTTTTCTGAGTCACAGTGAGAAGTGGTGTTGGCTGAGGGTGAGGGCTGCTCTGAGGGGTCCTTTACAGCTACCCACTGGTGAAACTCTTCTGTGTTTCTAGAAGTCCTTTGTCAAATTGTCAGAGGACCCAGCCAGTGGCTGATGTGTAGAGGGTTCTCTGGAGTAGATCAGCACCATGACCAGCTTTGTGAGCAGGACAGGGCCCAGAAGCATCCAGCCCACAGGCGTCATGGTCACCACTGTTTGTGGTTGAGATGGGCCAGTCCACAGCATGAGGTCAGCTCTGAGGCCCTTTGCTCACATCATATCTGTGGAGTCCACTGATGCCTGGCTTATGTCCTGCTGCACTGTGGGCTCTTGTATAATATTAGAGGGACCAGCCTTAATATTATACATCCCAGGGGCTCAGGAGACAGAACTACTAACGGCGAGAACTATTTTCAGGAAATATAATCTCAGCACACCGAGTTCTATAGTCCACTTGCTTTAATTCCTCTGGCATAACATCCTTTATACACAGCTTCAGTTCTGTTCTCATGTCTAGCTCCTTTCTTCCCTGATTTCTCTAGATTTATCTACTGTCCCCTCTAGGTTCTATCTTAATTCCTTCATCTAGTTCTGTCCCTTCTAGGTTCTCATCTATCTAGTTCTTTCCCCTATCAGCTCCTCTCACATCTCCTCTCTCATCTGGCTCTTCCTCATCTTGTTCTTCCCCATCTGGCTCTTCCTCATCTTCCATCTCATTCCTCTAGTCCTCTCTTTTAGCCCTTCAATCTA